ATAAAAGGAAAATAAGATTTACCTCCCCTGTCACTTATGAAATTTAGAAAATTTAACACAATTGTAACTAATAGAACTAGGTTAGTATTTACTCCAGGGTTTTGTGAATAGAAAGTTAAGAATTGCATCTACATCAAAAAAATATTAAACAGCATATATGTGCGTATTTTTAATATAACTGATAATGTAAAAAATACAATGTATATAAACATAAAATAATCCCAATGTGTATATGTATAAAGAGATGATTATTATTATAATTGTATATTTATATTATCTCTTTATACGTATACAAATTGGGATTATTTTATGTTTACATACATATATATATATGTGCTCATCTGAACATGCATGCTTATAAGTGTTCTGCTGGGGTGAATCTATACAACATACAAGATCTAGTGCACTCACTCATTCACTAAACAGCAATTTCAAGTCCCACAGAATGTAATAGTTTATTTAAGATCACCTCACCTAGGCAAAAAATAGTGGGGGTTTAGTTACATTATATGATCATATATTGCATAAGCCTGCCACAACGTCAATGTACCCCATCTTTGGCAGGTCCTACACTAACAGCCTAATGTCTGCTCTTATTAGATTAATCCATTTACTTGGGAAATTCTTCCTTCTGGGACTCTCTGCAGGTCAAGGTTAAAAGGGCCCTGGAGTGAGGCACCTGTAAAAGGGAGGGGTGCAAAATCAGGGAGTAGGCCTGGACTCCCAAATATATATAGAGTAGAGATTGTAGCCATATTAGTCCAGTGATGTAGATGTAAAAAACAGATACAATTTGTATCTTGTAATACCTTTTTTATTGGACTAATAGAATTTTTTAAAGTCAAGAATTCGGGAGAACCTCCCTTTCTCAAGTCTGAAGCATTTCTGAGCAAGACAACACATAGAATTCAACGTTGAGTTGTGATACAGGGGTTATCGCTGACATCATAGCTCTTTTCAAGCAGTCATCAATATCTGTATCCTTTATTAAAACAACATCTACCATACGACTGTTATAAGGATTCACCCTACAACAAGTTAACTCCCCAACCATGCCTACCATGGGATATCCCTCGTGACTCACTTCTACCCCACTGGTATGGGTTGAAGGTAAAACTCAATATTTGTTCTACAGCCTAACTCACTTACTTCCCAGTTCCTTAATTTTAAAATGTATATTTAAGGACAAAAACCCTAACTGTGAGCTAAGAACTCACCATTAGATTTCTAATTTGGCTCTCTTTCACTCACCCTCCAAATATGTACACCTCATTTAGCTAAAACATTATCTCCACTTCTTATATAACCTCGCTCACTTACCTCCTACTTTCTTTATAACATAGTTAAGGTAATGGCTTAAACCCTAACTATATTTTACTAACTCTATATAGCAAGAAACATGAAATTAAAAAGCAATACACTATAATTAATGAGACAATAACAATTCAACTGTCTGACCAAATACGTCTCTTAAAGTACCATGCAATTAAAGTAACACATTTTGGTGAAAGTTGTATTATTTTTTTATTATTCTTTCTTATGTATCCATCTATTTGTGTTTCTTTAACTGATATATGTAAAAATAATTATATATATATATATGTCATATCCAGTTCAATATATATGTATTAAAAGTATTGATTTGTAAATCATCTCTTTTCTGTACTGGTACTTTTTAATAATGAAGGTAAATAATTTATTATTTTGTTCTTTCCACTACTTTTTAAAAACATAATGTAAGAAATATATGTTTTTAAATCTTGCGGGAGCAATATATAGAGTAGCTTGCATTTATAGCACATTATAAGTGGGACAAACCTTAGGGGAACTTACGAAAAAGATTACACAACATAATGTAGTATTACAAATGCAGTAGAGACTTAAGCCATAATAAAACATTTTTTAGTGGAGCTAATCATTTTAAGAAGAACCTTTCTCCTCTTTAGGGCCTTGGAGACAGTCAATGACTCTCTTTGGACTAGGTGTATTCTAAAAAAAAACATTATAAGAGATAAAGTAATTGAACATTTTATTTGCAAGCAGTAGAACTTATTTTTGAAGACAACACAAATTTTCTTTTAGAAATATGAAAATGGTTAGCTTTTGTTTTCAAGGGAGAGAAATTGTATGTTTACAGTAACAACAACAAGAATCTAGATTTCTCTGGCTAAAAAAATATTTTTCATATTCTGTGCAGAATTTTTAAAAAAATTCCAGATGCTTCTTCGAAAAAAGCAATATATTTAAATATATAATGTATATAATATTGAAAAACATCCTGTTGACCTATTTCTTTATTTTTAACATTTTTAAATCAATCTTCGATGATCCATTGTATTTTTTTTAAAATACTAAAATACATAGACATATCATGAAACAAATTTTGGACAATGATAAAATAGGTTTGTTTGATTTGTGATTCAGAATACCATCCATGGTGACCAAAACAGAGATGGTTGATATATAGTGGGCAGTTACTAAATCAAATAAATAAAAGCATAATAAAGAAATAATCCAGGGATCACCCAGCTTGAACACTTAAAATATGCAAGCAAATGCTGAAATCTAACCAAAAGCTTATAATTGCAAATACTGACAATATGTGGACTGAATTTGAATGGTAACATACCATTCTTTTTGGTCATAATTTTGTCAGAATTCAATCAACAGAGTTTTTAATTAAAAAGGTGCGAAAATGGGCTTATTTTCGCACCTTTTTAATGAAGCCATCACTGTATTGCAAAATATAACATACATATAAATATTATTTATACATTTGACAGTACAGTGATAGGCTCCCTTTTGGTTCATCTACAAAGGTTTTCCAAAATTGGTAGTATTTCCTCAAGTTGAACCGTGTTGCCATCAAAGCTCAGTTAACCAAATTCCAAAAATAAAATTGGCCAAATTGATTCCACTGAACCACATTTTTCAGGCATGAACAAGCCTAAGAAAAGTGTAGTGATCACTAGGGGAGTAACTAGGAATCACAGGCCCCAGTGCAATAATCAAAGAAGGGCTCCCCTTACTCTCACTGATACACATACACTGACACACTCTGACAGACACACAGTCATTGGCACACAAACTGTTTAACCAGGACACACTTTCACTGACAGACACACACTAACATGTGTGAGCTTAACCTCTGTGGCTGGGAAAGTAGTTGAAAGGTTATTATTAATATTATTATTTGTGCCATTTATATAGCGCCAACAGATTCCGTAGCGCTTTACAATATTATGAGAGGGGGGATTTAACTATAAATAGGACAATTACAAGAAAACTTACAGGAACAATAGGTTGAAGAGGACCCTGCTCAAATGAGCTTACAGTCTATTAGAGGTGGGGTATAAAACACATTAGGACAGGAAATAACAATTAAATAAGGTGGGAGTAAAGCAATGCTGGAGGAGACAATAGAGTGCTGCCCTTTAGGAGATAGTAAGAGACAGGTATGTGAGGTAGAGGTTACTCTGGAAGGCCATAAGCTTTTCTAAAGAGATGGGTTTTAAGGCACATCTTAAATGATTGAAGACTAGGGGAGAGTCTGATGGCGGTAGGCAGGCTATTCCATAGGTAGGGAGACGCCCGCGAGAAGTCCTGCAGACTAACTTGATTGCATTCTACAAAGAAGTAAGTAGAAGTATAGATCAGGGTGTTGCCGTGGATGTGATCTATTTGGATTTTGCCAAGGTGTTTGATACAGTTCCACACTATAGATTAGTGTTCAAACTTAAAGAAATTGGTCTAGATGAAAATTCTTGTTCTTTGGTAGAACATTTGGCTTAAAAATAGAGTACAGAGAGTTGTCATTTATGGTACATTTTCAAGCTGGACAGAGGTGACAAGTGGTGTCCCTCAGGGGTCTGTTCTGGGACTCCTTCTATTTAACATGTTTATAAATTATCTTGAAAAAAGCATTGGAAGTCATGTTTCAGTGTTTACAAATGACACAAAACTCTGTAAAGTAATACAGTGTGAGCAAGATATTACTTTGCTGCAGAGGGATTTAGATAGACTGGGGGACTGGGCACTCAAATGGCAGATGAAATGTAGAAAAATGCAAAGTTATGCACTTCGGCGTAAAGAATACACAAGCAACGTATACCCTTAATGGAAGCAAATTAGGGATAACAACACACGAAAAGGACTTGGGAATTGTTATAGACAACAAGCTATGCAACAATGTGCAATGTCAATCAGCAGTGGCTAAGGCTAGTAAGGTATTGTCATGCATGAAAAAGAGCATTAATACTTAGGATGAGAAAATAATTTTGCCTCTAAATCACTGGTTAGACCACATCTTGAATATGCTGTGCAATTTTGGGCACCTGTCCTAAAGGAAGATATTATGGCAATAGAAAGAATGCAGAGGTGGGCTACCAAATTAATAAAAGGAATGGAACATTTTAGTTATGAAGAAAGGTTAACAAATGTAAACCTCTTTAGTTTAGAAAATGTTGCCTTGGAGGGGATATGACAACATTATACAAATATATCTGTGGCCAATACAAACCATTGTGTGGAAATCTATTCACAAACCGAACTTTACATAGGACACGAGGCCATGCGTTTAGACTGGAAGAAAGAAGATTTAGTCTAAGGCAAAGGAAAGGGTTTTTTACCGCAAGAACAATAGGGATATGGAATTCTCTGCCTGAAGTTTTATCAGAGTCCATACAGATGTTCAAACAGCAACTAGATGCATACTTGCAAAAACAGAATATTCAAGGATATAATTTTTATATGTAGGGTAAATGCTTATTGATCCAATGATTAATCTGACTCACATTCTGGGGTCAAGAGGGATTTTATTTCCTAGTTTGTTGCAAAATTGGAAGTGCTTCAAACTGGGTTTTTTGCCTTCTTTTGGATCAACAGCAAAAAACAAATGTGAGGAAGGCTAAACTTTATGGACACGTCTCTTTTCAGTGTAACTTTTCATGTAACTATGTAATTATGTAACATACACTCACTGACGCCCACACTCACTCACAGACAGACACACTCTCGCTGACACACGCATATATATATATATATATAGGTCTATCTATGTATATATATATATGTATATATATATATATGCGTGTGTCTGTCAGTGTGTGTCAAATATATAGATAGGTATAGATATATGGATAAATAAAGATGTATTGCAGGAAACTTTACAGGTTTTTTTTAGCAAACCAAAAGAGTTTTTAAATGAATAAAAATACAACATTTACTGCAACATTGCAAACATGGAATTAGATATAGTTTGATGAGTGAAAATTCTAGTTTAGGATTTCCTAGTTTATATTCCATATACATTCATAGATAAACATACAGAGAGATAATTTAGAATGAATTAATTATGAAAGGTAAATATGCATTTTTCTTATCCCTTGTGAACTTGCAGTTATCTTGATTGACCTATCTTTCTTCCCCTCCTACCCTTACCCACTACTTTTTTATAACCCTCCTCCCCACTCTCCTAGTATATATTTTGGGCAGTTTTATGACATGACAATATGCAAATGTGTCCGTATGTAGCAACAGATATGGTGAAATTACATCATTATGTGTACTGGTTTTATTTGGTGAGGGAAATGTGATAATAGTTTCAAATATTTACATACCTCCCAATGTTGGAAGCTATGCAATTGAGATGGGAATGCAGGTCCAGACCAGGGTGTCACCAGTGATGCCCATAATTGGCAGGTCCACCTGGAAAAGTCCCACCCAACTGAAGGAGTGGCAGCCTGGCTGGTCCCCTAACCCAGTGTTTCCCAACCCAGTCCTCAAGGCACACCTTCCAGTCCAGGATTTAGGGATTACCCAGTTGTGTCTAAGGTGTTTTTTTTCTTCTTTGTAAAAACACCTTAGACACAACTGGGTAATCCCTAAATCCTGGACTGGTAGGTGTGCCTTGAAGACTGGGTTGGGAAACACTGCCCTAACCAACAAAACTATACAGGAAGCACTATAGGAAATATATCTGCATGCTCCTAGAACCCACTGTATAATGTGAGCATTTGTTAACTAGAGCTAATCTTTTTAGGAAGCATCTGTTTGAACTCCATATTTTGCTTCTGCTTTTGAATTATTGAAGTTTCATTTATGATGATAATATATCTCTATATATATATAAAACAAAAATAGTAATGCACTCCACCTTCCTTGATGTACTTGCCCGGTGCTCATCAGCAAACAGATACAGCCAAAAGTACAAGATAGCACTCCAGGGACTTCCAAGTCGAATAAATAAAACTTAGCTTTTATTAGCTCAAAATAAAAATCAACATTTCAGTCTGTCTCACAGACTTTCATCAGGATGAGCTTGCAAATCAAATCCATAAGTCCCTGCAGTGCTATCTTGTACTTTTGGCTATATATATATATATATAAACATGTTTTTTTTAAAGATATTTTCTCATCCCTCCTGGGTGGTGTTCAGAGCCCTGGGAGTCTGCGGGTTATGTGCAGTATCTTAACTGTCCTTAGAACTGCACTCTTCTGGACAGCGATCTCAGATGTCCCACATGCAATTGAGTGCTCCTATAACAACTGAAACTACTACTGCCTTCCCTTTCCACGTCCTTTCTAGCTCTTCTTCCAGTCCTTGGTATTTGTTCATCGTCTAGTGTTCCTTCTTCCTGATGTTATAGTCACTGGGTATTGCCACATCCACCACAACTGCAGTCTTCCATATAAATACAGTATATGGAAACGCTCTGATTTCTTAGTGAATTGTCTTTTCAGACGCAAACAAGTAAAATTATCCAGTTTTATTATTTTAATGTGAAATATTTGTGTATGGACTATTCCACTGCATATAACAAAGTTGCTGTTTTTTTCTATACAGCTGCAACATGCTGTAAATTTCATTATTCAATGCATATGTTAACTATATATTCATAGAAATGTAAATGAATGATCAAAGTATTAATTAACTCCTTAAGGACGCAGCTTCAAAAACTGGACTTACCCTTAAGGACATAGGGAATTTTTGCATTTTTTGCTGTTTGTGTTCAAACGCAATTTGCATCTCTGTCATTTATTGCACCAACACATATTATATACCGTTTTTTAGAGGGCATAAAGGGCTTTAATTTGATGCGACATATACATAGATAAATTCTCATTAATTATAAGAAAATTTCCAAAACAAAATGGGAAAAAAACAAAATAAAGACCATTTTATTGCCAAAGGTTTTGGCAAAAATAGCATGTGCATAATATGTCCAGCTTAGAAAAAGTCATTCAAAATAAATTCATTTATGTGTCTTGATTTATAGAGCACATAATATGTATAGGATTTCAGCTTATTTTGAAAGTTACAGGTCACAAAATACAAGGACTAAAATAAAATTTCAAAATGAAACAATTTTAGAAGTTGGTATGTTTGTCTTGTAGGTTTAGTAGCCATCACAGAAAACAACATTGCCACACAAAAGTATATATTTATATAAAGTAGGCATCACAAGCAATTTACCTAAGGTTAGTTTGACACTTTTTACAAAGCCATTTCATAGCCAAAAGTAAAATTGTGTTTTTTCAAAATGAGTTTGCACAGTATATTTTGCAAACGTTATGTGTGCTACGACTGTATAATACTTCATATGTAGCGCAGCTATTTCGTCTAAGTACAACAATACCCCTGTATGTACCTTTGCCAGGTATATGTGGATGTTGAAGGGGCACATTTGAGACGCAACCATTCTGTTTTTTTTCTAACTTTAAAGTTTACGCTGTGTCCATGTTTCATTTTGGAGTAGTTTAGCTGGTTGGTTATTGAAACTACCCAACAAAGACATACTATTTATTAAAGAACACCCCAGGGTAATTCAAAAGGCATATTTTGAACCTTAGCGTGGGATCATTTTTTCGCTAGTATGTTCCAGGTGTAGTGATAATGAGCATTTTTTAATGTTTTTTTTAAACTTTTTTAACTTGTTTTTAAACTTTTTGTTTACTTATTAATATTTTTAACTTTTTTAAACTTTCTTGAAACATTTTTTAACCTTTTTTTTAAAAAGTTTTAACCCCTTAAGGACCAAACTTCTGGAATAAAAAGGAATCATGACATGTCACACGTCATGTGTCCTTAAGGGGTTAAAGCTTTTTAAAAAAAACTTTTTTAACATTAACCCCTAGCTAGCCTAATACCAAATTCCCCACTAACTTCCACCCACCCCAGCTAGCTAAATATATAATTTTTAAATATTTAAATTAATTAATAAAATATATTTAACTGAGGGTTAAACAAAAAGGAAAACTTAACCCTCATGGGTTAAAAAAAAACAGATCACAGTAAAATGTAGTCCCTGCCAATTGATCACTGTAGTCAGTGATCAATTGGCAGGAAGAGATTAATTTTATTAAAGCAGGGGATGGGATTTAACTTTATTTTTTTTACAGGGTAAAGAGAATCATCACTGATCCATCTCCCTGCACTTCACACTGAACGCGGGAGAGCAGAGAGGCGGATCAGAAGTCCCTGCAGCACATGTGCTCGCTCTGACACCGCAATTGGTGCTCTGGGTCTGCTTCAAATACAGTGATCGTGGCGATCTGGGGTTAATTTGAGCGCATGAAGGGCCCAGTCTGTCATTCGTCGTTAAGTGCTTCCCCAGCATGACGGACTGGGTCCGTCATGTGTCCTTAAATGGTTAAAGCTGACTTTGTAGAAATTAAAATGCATTGCTTCTAAATATGTTGATAAGGTGTTATTTATTTTCTGAAATATTTTCGTAAATTTAAATATGATCTGTTTTTAACTTCTGACTCAAGTTTAGAGTTATACTTAGATAAAAAGAAAACCGAGAAGAATATTTTCTCGTTTCAATTTGCAGGATGCCTGTAAGAAATAAAACATATGTCTAGAACAACCTATTTTTAATGTACACAACATTCAATTTTCAGGGGTATGCTATTAGAAAGCTCCTGACAATATCCTGACAATATATTCTTTCTTATACCTCTCAGAAAACTAGATCAATACTGCAGACAAAATGATAACATATATATCAAGTGTTTACACCAATAAAATGACTGTATACAAGTGTACCACGAGACATAAAACACTGCTGTATTTCCTCATTCATCCTTGTTATTTGTGTATTTCCTCTGGGAAATTATGAAACCATGGGAAAGAAAAATTGGAAGAAATTGGAAGAAAAGTAAGCTGGAGTCCATTCAAGCATACAACTAGTGAAAAATAGGAAATATATATATACTTAAGGCCTCTATAAAATAAGCATGCGTTAACATTAAAAAACAAAACAAAACAAGATGTGACGTCTCAACTGAATCATTGCTACCGAGATTTATACTCTAAGTCAGTTATTAAACACATTCTTGAACAAGTCGGTTCTTTGGCTGATTATCTATTTTGTATGTGTTCAAAGGATGAGATAATATCTTTATTATCTCAAAATCAATGTTAATTTTGTTGGTGGCAAACGCTCTAAGGATTTTTCACTAAAGTGAGAATGAATTTAAAATTTAGGGAAAACCTGGTCAAACTGGAAAAGACAATTCCAAGTCAGCTATGTTTCCGAACTGGATACATTGGCCTTAAATGTGAAATTCACTTTGAAATCACAATTCTCACTGTAGTGAAAAAAAAAACCCTGTGTTAGTTTTTATTGTTTACGTAATAATCACCTAGATACTGGACTAACTCTTTGAAAAGTGGTAGAAGAACATGAACCCAGGTATTTTCTTGGAGGAGAAGACTGGTCATCAAGGTCCATCGTGTCTGGGTGTTTGTACGCCGCATATGAAAGCCAGGATAATGGGATATGAGATGATATCATGTCATCCTCAGCTATCGTGCACTGGACAAGGACATGGATACCTGGAACCATAGATCTGTTGTCTCACATTACCAGAGTATAGAAGTGTGGATTCCTTTGTTGCTTGGAGTCCACATTTAATCTGTCCATTTCTATCTTTTTCCACTTATGGCAACAGTGACATTAATTAAAGAAAACAAAATGAGTAACAACACAGAAAACACATCAGTGTAGAGGAAATAAATATAGCAATTATTAAAAGTACAAATGAAGTGGCCAACTGGGGAGAAAATGGATATTTGCACGAATGATAAGGTAATGGGGAAGAGAAATTG